GAACTCTCTCAAAACCCACCTCAGACCACTGCCCAATTTTACTTTGTACCCAACCAATCCTTAGGGGACCCAAACCTTTTCGATTCGAATTAGCCTGGATTCAGGAGGAGGACCTCGCCTCCCTCATCCCTTTATGGTGGCAATCGTCCTCTAACCAAGTCACAGGAAGGGTTGGGTTAAGACTACAGAAAAAACTACAGATCCTAAAGTCGTCTCTTAAATCTTGGAGCTCTTCACTACAAGGTAACTTCACAACCTCCAAAAAAACACAACTAGATATCATACAAGACCTTGATAGGATAGAGGAGTCCAGACCCCTCTCACCTGCAGAGGCCAACCTCAGACAATCAACTAAACTGGGGTACCTTTCTGCACTAAAAAAGGAAGAGCTTTACTGGTATCGGTCCAGTGTATCTTGGCTTAAGTCAGGGGACCTAAATACCAAGTTCTTCCATAGAGTTGCGAATAGCAGACACCGAGCTAACTTGATTCAGACCATCAAAGTTGGTGAATCGTTTGATTCTGCACCAGAAATTGAGGAAGCCATCATTTCCCACTTCAGGAACCTTTACTCAGCTCAAAACCTACCTAGACCTACCATGGGAGACCTAGTATTCAAAACCCTCCCCACCCATAGAGCAGACTGGCTAGAACGACCCTTTCTAAGTAAAAAATCGAGAAGGCTGTGAATGACCTGGCCTCTGACAAGGTGCCTGGTCTAGGCGGTTTCCCCATGGCATTCTTCAAAACATTCTGGACCTCCTTTAAGGAAGATTTCAATTTGTTTTTTGAGGAATTCTATAGGCGTGGAAAGCTTAATAAAGCCTTGAATACAACCTTCATAGTGATGGTGCCAAAGTTTGAAGGAGAAAGGACATTAAAGACATTCGTCCTATCAGCCTCCTTAATTCCTCATATAAGATCCTTTCCAAAGTCCTGCCTTCCAGGATAAAAAAGGTCCTCAATTTGGTCATATCCCCATCCCAGTCAACATTCATTAAAACAAACAAATATTGGATGGAGTCCTGGTAGCTCATGAATGTATTCACTCTCGCTTTAGACAAAAAAAGCCGGGGCTTATCTTCAAAATTGACTGGGAGAAGGTGTATGACCACGTCGATTGGACAATCCTAGAACAAACCCTATCCAAAATGGGATTCGGCAAGAGGTGGAGAATGTGGATGAGAGGTTGGTACTCTAGTCCTTATTTCTCCGTCTTAGTTAACGGTTCTCCTAAGGGCTTCTTCCCTTCGTTTAGGGGTTTAAGACGAGGAGACCCCCTCTCCCCTTTCGTTTCACCATAGTGGGAGAGGTCTTCAGCCAATCAATCTTCAGGATCTTCCAGGCTGGCTTACTTTCTGGATTCAAAACAAGTAGAACAAGTCCAAGTGTGTCACACTTGCAATATGTAGATGGCGCCTTGGTATTTCTTGATGCAAATAAGATCAAAGTCCAGAACTTAAAAATCTTCCTTGCTTGCTTTGAGTTGGCTAGCGGTTTTAAGGTCAATATGGCGAAATCTAAAATGATTGGAGTTGGTCTAAATCCTTCCCTAACCAGGAACTTTATCTCGGATTGGGAGTGTGCAGTGGAAGAAATCCCAACCTTCTACCTAGGGCTCCCCCTCGGCCTTGGAAAACCCAATAAGCAGCTGTGGGCCCACGTCATTGATAAAATAGATAGAAGACTGGCAGGATGGATAGGGCGATATCTATATATGGCTGGCATAAGTACTCTCATCAAGCTTTCCTTGCCAATGCCTCGATTTACTTCATGTAGTTCTTTCAAATTCCATCTTCAATCTCTAAAAGGATAGAACAGCTTCTGAAGAATTTCCTATGGTCGGGTTCAGCAGAAACAAAGAAAATACACCTAGTATCTTGGAACAAGATCTGCACACACAAGAAGAAGGGAGGTTTGGGGATAAGAGACCTAAGGAAACATAATTGGGCACTTTTGGGGAAATGGTGGTGGAGGCTAGCAAATTATGAAAACCAACTTTGGACGCAGGTGATTAGAAGCAAATATAATATCTCCTCACAAATGTGGCTGCCAGAGGCCAACTACTACTCCATAGGATCAGGTATCTTGAAAACTCTGGTATCCATCCTCCCTCGGTTCAGAACTAATATTCGCTTTCATGCAAGAGAAAGAAATAGAGTGAGATTTTGGGAGGATTTGTGGATTGGCTTTTCACCACTGAAAGATAGATTCCCCTTCCTTTTTGCCATCTCCAACTGTAAAGAGTCAATGATAGTGGACGCAATGACTCTCTTTGGCAATAGTAGGACGTGGAACCCATCTTTTAGAAGGTCTCTGTCTAATGAAGAACTCCTTCAATTTGCTACACTCAGCTTTGAACTCTATGAAGTTTTCTTATCGCAATCAGGCATGGACTCCATGATTTAGACCCCATCACCCTCAGGGAGGTTCACAATAGCCTCCTTCTATAGGGTCTTTGTAGATGGAACAAACATAATCGACTCATCAAATAGAGCATGGGAGTCTATAGCCCCACCAAGGGCTCAACTCTTTTAGTGGTTAGCGAGTCAAGGTGGGCCCCTATCCATAGACAACCTTCAGAAAAGAGGATTTCAATTTTCTAACAGATGTATAATGTGCCTTAATGAAGAAGAAACAATATCACATATGTTATTACATTGCGACTTTGCATACTCATTGTGGAGTCTACTTATTCAGTTATTTAGACTCTCGTGGGTTCTTCCACCTTCAGTCCAGGCTATGTTAACACAGACCTATGAGGACAATTTTAGGAAATCGGGGAAAATTCTATGGAAAGCCTATGTTGCTGCTACGCTTTGGCACATATGGGGGAAACAAACTCTAGGATCTTTCGAGGAGTTAAGAATACATTCCAGATCACGTTCCAAAAAATAACGTCCTCTGTTATTTTTTGGGCCTCCCATCATAAACTATTTGTGGGTATCTCCGCCTCTTTCTTATGCGAGAATGGGAAAATCTCCTTAAACGTCAGTCATCGTAGGAATCAAAGTACCCCTCGATGGACTGTTCCTTCAGAGGATCAATTAAAGCTCAACTTCGATGGATGCTCTCTGGGAAACCTTGGTTCGGCAGGCGTAGGGGGGGTGTATAGAAATCATGAAGGACGAGTCCTTCTCACCTATTCAGAATACATAGGAATAAAGGACTCACAGACAGCAGAAGCCAAAGCCCTTCTAATTGGAATCAAGAATTTTAACCATTCTTGGGGTAGAATACTACAGATTGAAGGAGATGCAAAAAACATTATTAACTAGGGTTCTAGGATAAGCGATCCACCTTGGTATTTGAGACATATTTTTCATGAAATTGAACACTTATGCAGGGACTTGGAAGTCACTTGGAAGCCACTTGGAAGCACACTCGATGGACCGCACCGCAACTGCAGATGCACTCGCTAAAGAAGCTGCCCGGCAACATACCTAAATGGATGCAGTTAGTGTGGGTGAAAGGGCAAAACTATGAGCCCCACGCAGTTTTCTTTTGTCCGTTTCGTAATAGTCTTTGTATAGGGCCATTACTACAAGCCCTACTATGCTTTCCTTTTGTCCGCTTTTGTAACTTGGTTCTATGCTTTCCTTTTGTCTGCTTTTGTAACTGGGCATATCTATAAGCCCCTCTCAGTGGTTGTGTCTGTCTCGTCTGGTCCTCCACTCAGGGACCATGACACAGCTGAGGTCTACGCGTGGTGGACCTCACCGTACCGATGTAACTCCTTTTATTTCATGTTGAGTCAACTTTTATCAAAAAAAAAAAAAGTCTAAAAAGGTGAGAAGTCTATCTAACATCCAAATGTCTAAAGTCCAAACGAAGAATATGTTTCTTGAATCAATTTATGTCGTTATTATAGATATGTCCACAAAAATTGCACATAATTTTTATTTTTGTCATTCTTATCCAGATGACACAATACTTCCATCCCGGATCCCCACACCTAGTAGACCCTATAGAAGACATTCCAAATGCGGAAATAAAACTCAAATAAAGATTACAAACTGACTTTTTTTGCCCAAATCTTTGCTATTCGATGTTTGTTACCTCAATCGAGCTACTAATCACCTCAAAAGTCTTCTAAACCCTGCAATAACACCTTAAAAAATAACTCCAATGAGAAAAGAAAAGATTAAAAAGCTTCTTCAAATCATAAAAATACTTTTGCTTATCAAAAATAGGTATAGCTAAGAGATTGAGGGCTCATGGAAGTGTTTTTTAACTTTGCGTGGTTGAAAATGACCCCCATAACATATTTATACCTTAATATTCGTAAAAGGGCCCACGGCCCAGAACTGGGTGTTGGGCACCTACCTGGTCCGCTTGCCCAGGTTCAGCTGCCCAGAGCGGGGGGCCTAGGCCTAAGCGTGCTGTCTCAGGGGTCTTGGGTGCCTAGGTGCCCCACCTAGGTGCTGGGTGGACTGTTTTTTGAAACCTTGTCGATTATGCCATATGCCTAGGGATATGGCTTTTAGATTCAATACTAGACCTAGACCACTTACGCTGGGTGAGTCAGTTAACAAAATAAAAATGCTATACTGGTCCCACATGGACCGCACTCCCATTGAAGTGTTATTTACAAGTTCTCAAGGCCTTTAAAGGCCACAAACTCCAGTAGATGTATTTGTTTGGTCGGTGTCATAATTCATTAGATGGCCAACAACCATCACCACAATACTTTCAACTAAAAGATGCTGAAGACATATGTTGTGGGTATTCCGTTTGTTGATTTTATACTAGTTCATACGTAGGATCACATTTTAAATGAATTGCTTTCCTTTATTGGATGATCCCTTGTTGTGCAGAAAATTCTGGACTTTCCTAGAGGATGAGATGAGTAGTGCTCGTGATGTTGGTGAACTTCATTGTTAGAATAGTGTATATTGGTCCTATATTTTTCATCGATAGTACTGCAATAATGTCTTCTATGCTTGCAAATTCTTGTATTGGGCCAGAGAGGCTATGGTTTTCCATTACATTTTTTTCAGGCTGTTCGTAGAAGGATTTTTGAGAAAGGGCTTAGAGTAGATGGGAGGAGTTTGGATGAAGTTAGGCCTTTGTTCTGTGAATCTGGTTCTTTTCCAGCTTTGCATGGATCCTCGATCTTTTCACGTGGAGAAACACAGGTAATATGCTATTTTTTGGTCTCTTTTTTGATTGTCAATTGTAAAACAACTAAGAGGCACTTCATTTGATCACATAATATGGAGCATTCCTATTCTGTCTAGTAGGTCCTGTGCACAGTGACGCTAGGAGCACCTGGAGATGCCCAGAAATTGGATTCCCTGGTTGGCCCTCCTACCAAGCGCTTCATGCTTCATTATAGTTTTCCACCATTCTCAATTAATGAGGTCGGCAAACAAAGTGGCCTGAATAGACGTGAAGTTGGGCATGGTAAGCTTGTTGTTGCAACGTTGAACCTTCCTGAATTGCTTGCATTGACTGTAGCTGGTATTTCTGTTACAGGTTAGAAATTTCATCATTAAAGAGCAAGTGTTACTTATATGAAATATATTGGACAGTGCTTGCATGAATTTTGGCCTAGTTTTCCCATATACCTCAAAATTCTATGAGTAACATCCTTGTGAAGAATCCTTGGAGAGTGCATAAATCGACTCACTACACTTGCTACAAAAGCAATATCCGGCTTAGTGATGGTCAGATAAATCATCCTGCCTACCAGTCTTCTGTGCATTCCTGGACCTTCAAACAACTCCCCCTTATCAACCAATAATTTTGTATTTGAATCCATAGGAGTATGACCTGGTTTACCACTCAATATTCCAGTCTTTGTCACAAAATCAGTCACATACTTTCTTTTAGACAAGCAAATGTCATACTTTGATCTGGCTACTTCAATTCCTAGAAAATACCTCTGAGTCTGATTGATAACACACTAATATCATAATATTTCTGAATATTATATAATCAAATGTAACTCTAATAGTTGAAGTTAGTGGACCATGGTTGATAAGATCAAATCGTACTAGAATATATCTTAATAACCACTTAATATCTCAATCCCCAAGAATTCAGCTCAGGCTTGAAATTTGCGGGATACTAAAAATTGTATCAGGCAGCTATTTTCCGTCACTTGACGGGATGCAATTTGCTTTCTCTCTCTCTCTCTCTCTCCCCCCCTCCTCCCAAGATAATCTCTTCTTGTCAGCAAATCCATTCCAACCGCGCTCTTTTATTCTCACTCTCTCTCTCTCTCTCTCCTCATCCCACCATTTCTCGACAATCTATCTCCGTGGAAAATGCACCCAATTTGCTGGACAAGCGACCCACCTTGTCGAAGAATGTATTTAAATCGCCTGAAAACTAACCCAACTTACTGGAAAAGGGATCCTCACTACTTGAAGTTTCAGGCAATTGTTGGAAAACTGACCCAACTTGCTGGAAAAGTCATCCACTTCCCCAGAAAAAATCATTCGCTTTGTTGGAGAATAAACTTGACTTGCTGGGAAAGTGACCCCCCACCAGAAATTTCTCTATTTTGGAAGAAATTCGTGCTCGAGTTGCCTAAAATTGCTCTGTTTTTGCCAGAATTTGTATAAGCATGGCCGCAAATTCCTGGGTTTATACTAGAACTCGGCATGATGGTGAAGGCGTGAACGTAGGCATGGTCATCGAGGTGCCTATAGTCGAGCCCATATCAACAGTGGAAAGGCCTAGTCTTGAAATTTGGCCATGAACAAGAGAAGAGCCGTTGTTTCCTTTGGCTTTCATCTCTAAGATATGAATAGGAACTGGTTGTTCTAAAAAGGTAGTTATGGCCTCTTCTGAATAATTCGTTGGAGAAAGCAAGAGCCTTTGTTACACTGTTAAATAGGGGCTGCCAATGGGTAGGGCCTGGGCCGGCTCGGCCCGGAGAAGCCTGGGGCTGATTCAGCCTGACCTGGTGAGGCCCGGCCCCGATCTATGCTCGTCAAAACCCAGAAGCCTGTCGCGACCCATTAAGGCCTGGAACTATACCAAAAACTCGGGCCAGCCCATTAGGCTTATTGGGCCTTGCCCAGCTCAATTTAGATTTTTCTTTTTAAATCCCTCTCCAAACTTTAGAAAAAACCCTAGAAATCCTTACAAAAATCAGAAAAAACCCTAGAAACCAGAGACCTTAGAAAGAAACCCTAGCGATAAAAAGAAAATGAAAACCATTACCTGCAAATTTGCCCTAATTAGTAGAAGGGGAAAAGAGACCTAGAAACCTTAGTGATAAAAAGAAAACTAAAAAAAATTACTTGCAAATTTACCCTAATTAGTAGAAGGGGAAAAGATACCTTAGAAAGTAACCCTAGAGATAAAAACAAAACTAAAAAAAAAAATTGCATGCAAATTACCCTAATCAGTAGAAGGGGACAAGGAAAACATATGTTTATAGTGGCGCCATGCCTGGACAATGACCACAACTTCGAATTTTTTCAAGACACCTCCGTCTTTAGCCTTGATCAGAAGATAATACTTATACCAGAGACCACATGTTTCTCTCCCTCCCTTAACAACCTCAGAGAAATCCAGTTGAGGATGGTGATCTTGGTTGTATGTTTCCACGCAAAACTCGCCCAAGTCCTAAACCTTTGTGTTCGATTTCACGTTTGGGATCTCTGCCCTCCCTCCTAGCCTTAGAGCAGAAGAGAAATCAAGGGAGAGGAGAGAGGATGACGAAGAGAGAGAAAGAGCCAGAGGACACAGAACGCCATCAAGGGAGGGGAGAGAGGATGACGAAGAGAGAAAGAACGAGAGAAAGATGCAAAGAACGCCATTTCTAGTGGGGCTGGTACGCAGAGGAGGACGCATGTAGAGATAGAAGGACGCATGTAGAGATAGAAGGACGCAGAGATGGGGGCAGTTTTAATGAGAGAGAGATAGAGGAATTAAATGTGGAGATATTTGCTCCTCGCAAAATTTTGAGAGTTAAATGTCGGTGCATGTAGAGATAGAGACAAAGGAGTTACATTTCGGGCTTGTTTTCAACCTGGCCCAGCCTAGCTCGGTAGCAATATAGATCCACAATAGCTCGGCCCTGCTGGCTGGGTAGCAATATAGATCCACAATAGCTCTACCCTACCCGGCATGGTAGCAATATAGATCCACAATAGCTCGACCTACCCGGCCGGAGGCTCGTTAGCTGGGCCGTCCTAGAAGCCCGAGGCTCGGCCCTGTCAATTGGCAGCCCTACCATTAAAGCTAAGAGAAATGGTAGGAAAAAAATTCTAAAATACAGGTAGAAGTCAAACAGGTGCAAAAAATGATCATCATCATCATAGCCTTTTCCCAATTAATTGGGGTCAGCTGCACGAATTTTGATCAGCTATTATACTATATTAAAGACCATATCCTCAGTGAGGTCATAAGTCGCCATATCTTTTCTAACTACTTCCAACCACGTCCTGTTGGGCCTACCCCTTGCCTCTTTCAATCCTTCGACTTTTACTAACTCGTACCTCCTAGAAGGTGTTGTACTAGATCGACGGCACACATGGCCAGCCCACCTGAGTCTACTCTCTCTCATTTTACCCCTTATTGGTGCCACACCTAGATTTTTTCGAATGGATTCATTTCGAATTATATCCTTTCTTGTCTTGTCACTCATCCATCTCAACATCCTCATCTCCCCTACACTCATTCTATGGGCATACTGTTTTTTGTCTGCCTAACATTTCGCTCCATAGAGCAAAAAATGATATATCAAGTTAATATCTAATTCAAATATATCTAATGTCCGGCAATGGCATTATTCAAATTTTTAAAAATTTGAATATTCAGATTTTGTTTTGTCAAACAGACCTTAGCTAGCCCAAATCTTTATGTCTTAACATATTGATTTAGGTGCCTCTTTAGATGATTGATTCTTTCTTGATCATTGCATGGTTTTGTTGAAATCATGTGCCACAACAATTTCGCGAAGACATACAGAATTGTTGAAACTATCGAGGGATCAAGCTTATGAGCCATACTATGAAGCTTTGGGAAAGAGTCATTGAGCAATGACTAAGGCATGAAACAAGTATATCTAAAAACCAATTTGGTTTTATTCCAGGAAGGTGAACAACTGAGGCTATTTTCCTACTTAGGCAACTGATTGAGAAGTTTAGGACGAAGGGAAAAGGCCTCAATATGATTTTTATTGATCTAAAGAATGCTTATGATAGAGTACGATTTGATTTAGCGGGTGTTGGAAAAGAAAGGAGTCTCTAAACACTGCATCGACTTGGTGAGAGATACGATGGAGCGGTTACTAGTGTATGAATAACTAGTGGAGAGAGGAGTGAGTTTTCAGTGACAATAGGCCTACATCAAAGGTCAGCAATGAGCCCATACCTCTGTCTTAGTTATGGACGACCTAACTAGGCACCTACAGGATGAGGTACCGTAGTGCATGTTGTTCGCAGATGATATAGTTTTGATTGATGAGACCCGAAACGACATCATCACAAAGTTATAACTTTGGAGGGATGCTCTAGAGTCCAAAGGTTTTAAAATTAGTCAGACTAAGATGGAGTGCAAATTTAGTTATAATAGGAGTAGAGCCGAGGAAGTAGTTAAGATTGACGGCCATGAAGTATAAAAATGACCGCACTTTTGATATCTTGGGGCGATAATTCAGGAAAATAGAGAGATCGAGGAAGATGTCGCACACAAAATTAGATCTGGGTGGGCAAAGTGGAGATGTGCAACTGGAATTTTATGTCATCGCCACATACCAATAAGGCTGAAAGGCAAGTTCTATCGGACAACAGTGAGACCAGCTTTGCTCTATGGGGCAGAATGCTGGGCGGACAAAAACAATATACTATAGAATGTGTAGCGGAGATGAGGATGTTGAGATGGATGAGTGGCAAGATAAGAAGGAATATAATTTGCAATGAATCTATTTGAGAGAATTTAGGCGTGGCACCAATAGGTGATAAAATAAGAGAGAGTAGACTTAGGTGGGCTGGCCATGTGTGATGCCCACTAAGTACAACGCTTGTTAGGAGATGCGAATTAGTTCAAGTGGAGGACTGAAAATGTCAACGGGTAGGCCCAAAAGGATGCGGTGGGAAGTAGTCCAAAAAGATATGGGGACTTATGATCTCACTGAGGATATAGCCTTTAATAGAGCAGATTGGAGAACCTGAATTCATGTAGCTGACGCTGATTAATTGGGACAAGGCTAAAATGATGATGATGATGAACTAGCTCAAAAGTTTCAAAGTAGTCAATGCCAAAGGTTTAGATGTATCCTTTGAGCAACCAATGCAACTTTTAATCTCTCGATGGTGCCATTAAGTCTAATATTTTACTGCATAAATTCAACATCCAACAATTCTTTTTCCAGCTAGTAACAACATGTGCTCCCATGTATCATTCAAATTGAGTGCATCGATTTCCTCTTCCATTGCTTTCTT